ATCAGTCTATGAGTTAAAAATATTTCGTATTAGATTTCAATAATTTTATATCCATTACTCTCAAATACGATACCATACCAACTTCCTTACAAAAGGCAGTTAGGCACGTTCAGATGTGAATGCTCTCCAGACAGTCTGTCGGAATATATATATATATATATATATATATATTAACATTTCTTTTATTAGTTTCAGGTGTACAAAACAAGGTAAGTTAGACATTTACACACCTCACAAAGTGATAATCCCCTCCTCCAATCTACTACCCCTCTGACATCATATAAAGCTGTTACAATTCCATTGACTCTATTCCCTATTGCTGCACTCCACATCCTGTGACTATATATATATATATATATATATATATATATATATATATATATATAAAATTATAGTTGACATTAGCACAAACTGATAACAAGATTGCCAGGGGGATACAAAAGACAGTTTGGGGAATAGAATCAATAATGTTGTAAAGATTTTGTAGGGTACCACATGGGCACTTGTCTTATTAGGAGACCACCTCATAGATACTGTAGATGCCTGACCACTGCACTGTACACCTGAAGCAAAATATCCTTTTGACAAGATTCTAACTGGAGCACTGACATTCAATTCTTGTATTAAGAGAAATACACATTAGTGTGTCCAATTTTCTAATCATGTCCCTTTCCCACCTATCCACCAATGACTTAACTATGGTTTAAAAGAATTCAACAATTTCCATACATGCTACAGTATCTACCATGGCTTAAGATGAATAATTGACAATTGATTCCATTATGTCAAGATATTTTTCATACTAGTAATTTTTGTTTAAGTAAATGCCAAATAATATATATGATTAGGAATAAAAAATATCAACAAAACATATCTATGTTAGAGATGAAAGAATTTCAGAGGGCACTTGTATTGTGGGGGGGAAAGCTAGTTTATAAAAGCAAAATGAAGCCCAATTTCTTCCAAGAATTTTAAAAAAACAAGTTTTAAATGTCTTTTTTCTGAAATAAAAAAGAAATGATAAGAAAACAAGACAAATGTGCATTTGAAAAAGAGAATTTGCCTACAGTTACGTAAGCAAATTAAAATAAAACAAATAAAGCTGCAGCATTAAACATGCTGCAAAACGTGAACACGCACTCCAGCCAAGACAGTTGGTTACACCCACTCCCATTAGTAAAACAAAATGTAAGACAAAATGGGCAACTAATGAGCTCAGCTGCAGGGGCTTGTTTGTTTGTTTTTTAATTTCATCCATTTGCTCAAAATGTAATTTCTATTTTACCCTAAAGTCTTTTGCTGGATATGAGGGGAATCAAATGTTCCTAAACAAGAACCTGAATAAGCCCTGAAAATGCATAATACAAGCTTCATTTGTTCTAATGCACATGTGGTGTATTCTGTTTTAACATTTTTGACAGGTTAATCACTTGTCTTCATGTGTAAAGAACACAAATGTTCTGCCAGTGCTGTTAAACAGATCACGTGGGAGTGAAAAGAAAAAGTTAGAGAAGGAGAAAGGTCTGTTTTTTCAAATGCTTTGTTAAGTAAACGGGGAGAACATACCTAGGTAACTTGAGCCCCATGTATGGGAAGCTATGATTCATTATGAAAGCAGAAATAACGTAAAGCCCATTAATAAAAATAAACACTTTAAACAAAAACATTTCTTATTTGAAATAAAGAAGTTATTTAAAAATCTTTAAGACTAAAAATAACTGCCAAATTTTGTGAAGAAAATGGTAATAAAAATAAACAACTTAAGGCTAAGAAAATTTAGAGGCCAAAAGGGTTATTCAGAGAATGGATAAAGTAGCAAAGATAACAAAATTAACTTCTGCAAAAAGTTCAGCATGCAAAGCAAGGAACTAGCCAAATACAGATATATTCAGTATTCAGTTTCGGTTTTAATTGACTATATTTAGTATTGCTTGGTTTTGTTGAACTCAAATTTAATTAGAAAAGAAATTTATGAGAAATATTTTCATCATATTGAACTGTAATTTGTGGGGGGTTTTTTTAAGCAAAGAAAACGTCTTTATTCTTTGATATATAAAACCAAGAAAACCTTACCATGTACTACAACATGCTTATTTCTTTGTTTTAGGAAAAAAATGGTGGAAGTGTAGACCTGGGTAGAAAAATACACTCAAGGGCGGCCAGGCGGCTCAGTTGGTTAGAGCGTGTGCTCTAAACAACAAGGTTGCCGGTTCAATTCCCACATGGGATAGTGGGCTGCGCTCCCTGCAACTAGAATGAAAATGGCGAGTGGACTTGGGAGCTGAGCTGCACCCTCCACAACTAGATTGAGAAAAATGACTTGACTTGGAGCTGATAGGTCCTGGAAAAAACACACTGTTCCGCAGTAAAGTTTAAAAAGAAAAAATAGAAAAATACACTCAAGAAGGTGTTCCAAGCAGCTCACAATCCTAAAATTATGAACAATCGCGCATGAATCCGAGTAAGCCTCTCTTTTTTTCTGTAAGAAAATTATTCACATTTGCTTGACAACTTAAAACATGGTAAGAAAAATAACTTTCCTTCTTGGTAACAGACCCAGTTAGTCAATAAGACACTCACTAACCAGCAATAACTTGGTAAACGAACGTTTCCTCTGTGATAGTAAGTTAGCATTAGAATTCTGCTTCTGTAATACTTGTAGTAAAGACAGCTTCTGACTGCTGGGGCACCAAACAAGATGCTGGTACAGTTCCTGGAGCTCACAAATTTGGAATTGTGGGGATTCTCATTGAGACCTCAAAGAGGGAGCATCTTTGGTTTTCCCTGTACTAAGGAACAAAATGGACAGCGAGCCTGGCATTCAAATAACAAAATAAACAGAGGTGCAGGAAACCCACTACTCAATAAAAGCTATTTCTGAACAATAAATAGTTTCTGCACAAAAGTAAAACAATTTGCTTTTCACTTAACGAATTCAGGAAACAGTGAAAAGATCGAAAAGCAGTTTCCCATCTGGTATGGTCCTGACACATGGTTAATTTTGAAAATAATGTTCAATTTCAGGTCTTACTTGAATATTAAATCTGATTCCATGATAACATGACAACAAATGCTACTGTAATGGAAATCCCTAATAAAAAGTGCCAAACCTCAGTCCAATATCTAATAAGAATGTGTTATTTAGTGCAGGCTATCAAAAATAAACAAATAAAACTCTACTAGAACAAAAGAATTGTAGAGTACACATGAAACTGCTTAAAGTACAGAACATGATCTGTAATTCACATAAATGTTAGAGGCTACCATGTGTGAAGAATTTTAGCAGGATTTTTCAGCTCAACTAGAGTTGAAATGTGAAGCCCAATCTCTACTAAAATAATTTTAAAATATTTGTTCTGTTTACAGCATAAAATTTTATTTGAAATAATGCCTATCTACAGCAGCACCACCTAAAAGAAACTGTCTGCAAATGAACTTATTTTTCCTCCCAAATCTACTCCGTTTCCATTAATGATATCAACTCATTAGGAGAGATCCCCAGGTTTGAAAAATCTCAGCATCATTTGACTCGTCTTTCTCTCAACCTGTCCATTCCTAGCTACTCAGTGCAAAGTCCTAATATCTTTGACATCTGTCGTCTTCATTCCAGTCTCATTATGAAGACTTTAATTTAAACGTTACCTTTACTATTCTCTGGCAATTGCACCCGAACTGGTCTCCCTGCCTCTAATTTTGATCTATGCCAATACATCTTACAAACTCTTGCTAGATTAAAGCTCTAAAGAACCCCTCATCTTAAAAAGTTCTAGGAGAGTCCTGCTGAATACAGAAAAAGAAGTCCAAGCTAACTATGATCTTATTTAAGATCCTTCTCATATGACATCAATCTACCTTTCCAACATCATTTCCCATTATTCTTTTTCATATCGATGTAAGGGGTTCCATTCAATATAGCCAAAGAGAACTAACTGATATTGTTGTACATGGCCTGTAATTTCTGACTTACTTCAGTGTCTATGATTAACAGATTCTTTATACCTAAAAAAATATTCTCCTTTCTATTTAGCCAACTATTCAAGATCAGTTTAAATGTCACCCCCTTCAGGACCCCTCCTCTGATTTCCCCACCTATGTGTTGATTTCTCCTCTACTGAACACCTACCTATAGCACTTTGTGAATTTTCATGTAATACTTCATACTTTTTATAACATGGCTATTTGTGTAGCAACCTTACGTCTCTTACTAGATTTTGTAAGGGAGAAATATCCGTACAGGGCAAGTTCCTTAAGGGAAATATCTGCAGAGCCATGGATCCAGTAAGCATTCATATATGTGTTGAATGTTGATATATGTAAGCATAAATATTATATTGAAAAAGAAATATAAAATAATATGATGATAACATACATAGTGGGTAATACATTCCATTTATCTCAAGCTAGAATATGGCTGAAATTTAAAGTATTATATAGTCTAGATTTTCAAAATTATATTAGATTATCAGTATCAATTTCAAAGGAAAAAAATCAAATCTACATATTCTTATATAACACAAAATTCAAATACCAGGACATATTATTTATTCTACATATATATTAACAATTTTGTTTTCTAACAAAACATATACCGGGGGTACCAAACAAAATGTATACACACGACTTGCATTCATCTTTTGTTATCAGTATATATTAGTATTACAATTCTAATACAGTTTTTTCCTTTCTTAAAATGTATACATTTTTTCAGCACCATCTGTATAGTAAGATAATTTTAATAGCATACTGAAATAATAAAAATAATTCTCCCCTTTAAAAAGTACAAATTGGCAGTTATAAAATAGTTACAGGTATGTAAAGTATAGCATAGGGAACATAGTCAATAATATTATAATAACTATGTATGGTGCCAGGTAGACACTAGACTTATCAGGGGGATCACTGTGTAAGTTATGTAAGTGTCTACCCACTGCAGTACACCTGAAACTAATATAATATTAACTGTCAATTGTAATTGAAAAATCTAAAAAAATGTTTTAAAAAAATTCTTCCTTACTTCGAGTAAGCTTTGGAAATCTTTTTTTCAGTTTCTTCTTTAATGGATTAAGCTCAGGCATTATTTCTGGAACAGCTACATAAAAGTCTGGTTGAATTTCATCATCCAAAATCTGAAAATCAGGGAAAAAGATAATCTTGATGATAAAAAAAGCTTTAGCCTTCTGAAAATAAAGTATAATGTAATAATTTCCCTTATAATTTAGAAAACAGACATTAATCCAATTTTTTTTCTTCAAACACAAGAATCATATAAACACATTTACCAATTATGAAAAATATTAGCAGCAAAACACTTTCTGATATTTTCTTTTAAAGACAGCCACATCCATTTAAAATATATATATTTAATGGGTTTAATTCTTCCATGGGGTTAGGCAAACTATTATAAACTAGAACATAGCACTGATGTGTATGTGGCTCAGAAGATCCCACAAAGCTGAAATCATATGTCCATGAAAACTGAAGAAACATACTGAAACTTTTGCAATAGATCACATGTAAAATTAATAACCACTAACTGCCAAATCACTAGCAACTACAACGTCTTCCCAAATTTAGAACATCGAGAACTGACTCTATAATTATTTTCACAAAGAACTGAAACTAAAATTCTCTTTGCCTCCAATAACTAAAAATAAAAGAGGAGTGGGATTATCAAAGACAAGTTCACTTACAGTTTATTTTACACACACTAATTCCAGTCTAAGAGCAAACAGAGAAATAACAATTTTTAAAGATATTTTAAATTAATTCCAGCAAGCACCCAAAATATTTATACTGCTACAATATACTCCATTTAAACATTTAGTTGATTATAAAATGAAGCAACTTTTTAGAACAATACTGCCTGGGCAACAAATATTTGACCAATGGTCCTTTTAGCTTGAAAACTTACCATAAAATGTCATTTAAAGCCTTGGTTTGGAGTTATGGTAAACCCTAAAAACCTGAACTCGCAAAATTAAGCTGTGATTCTGGAATTTTATCTTCCTGTTAAATAGTCTTTCTTTTTACAAATTCTTTACTCCCTAAATAACAAAGTGTTTCCCTTAACAATAATAATTTGCATTAAATGAGCATTTACCGCATGCCAAGCATTTGGGTAAATATTTTACAGGGTTTAGGTTCATTCAGTCTTTACAAAAACCTTATGAGGCAAGTACTAATACTGATCGCAAATTCCAGATAAGGAAATTGAGGACTTAGGGAGGAGGAGCCAGTCAGTGTCCTTATAAGGGGCAGACCCAGAACTTAAAAACAGACAGTGTGGTTTCAGAACCAGGGCTCTCATTGCTATAAATAAGAAAGAGGAGGCAATTTTGAAATGTCAAAGAACTGTATGTGAAATTCTACTCCAAGATCTTCGAATACTGATCCTAAAACATGTTCCTTTGAATTAAATTAAAAATTATGATTGAAAATTATATTGTAATAGAGTAATACAAGACAATATAAAAGAAAATCATGCTTTATAGATAAATATAATCTATTTATCAAACGATATGGGCATAGTGGTTATATTCCACATGTAAAAAACCAATGAATGGCAAAGATAACAGAACAATTTTTTATAACTAATGAACGTGAAAACATTGTACCTTCTGAACCAGGTTAGTTCCTCCTGCAAACGCAGCTCCATTTTCTTCTGCTATTTTAATCTCTGATGCATTCTACCAAAATACAATAGTTCGAACATCAGTCTTTAAACAAATTCAGTCTCCTTTCAAGTATTTTGTCAGAAATAATATTACAGTTCAAAATAAAAGTTGCTTTTTACTTTTAATTGAAAATTTCAGTGAGATGCATCAGAAATATTACATTCAGACAAGTTTAGTTTGTAGGTGATTGAGGTGTTTCTTGTAACATGACAAAATACATCAAAATGGCATTAGGAACTTACCAAGTGGTTCAACCTAAGACTCCAATGCCATCAATATATCATCTTCCAAAAGTAAAAGTTTAAGATACATTTAGTTTTGCTAACTTAAATGAAGACATTTTAGCAAAACAATATGGAAGAGAAAAAAATTTTAATTTAAGAAACAACAGAAGCAAAATTTAGCCTGTTGTCTGAAAATTCGAAAGAAAAATACTCAGTATTACCGTATTTTGCCATGTATAATGTGCTCCCATATATAATACATACCCATGTTTTTGGCCCAAACTGTCAGGGAAAAAAATCTTTCGTTTTAATTTTTTAATTCAAATTTTTATGTCTACATTTAGGTGCTTGTTTTTTGTATTATAAAGGGATGTTAGCATTTAATTTTAAACATATTATGGTACAAGAAATTTTATGTAACAAGTAATTACAAAACATAAGAACAGATACAAGGTACAAGAAATTTTATGTACTGGTAACAAATTCATTATATTTACCCTTCATAGAAGGCCAAAAACTCTTTATTGCTGCAAGTTCATCGTAAGTTCAACAAAACTGATTATCGTATTCCATGGTATTATTTTGCATACAGATATCATTCATTATTGATTTCTAGAGTTACACTTTTAACCCATAAGCATAAATAAAAGAATTAAAAACATTTATATAGATATGGAATTAGTACTATCCATGTATAATGCACATCCTTATTTTTTCAATCACAAATTTGGGCAAAAAAATGCACATTATACACTGCAAAACACGATAGTTATGTTCTTTCTCTATGTTCCATTTATACCATTTGGTTTTTTTGTTTGTTTGTTTTGTTTTTAATTTTTATTGTTAGTTTCAGGTGTACAGAACAATGCAATAGTTACCCTTTTCACCCTCACAAAGTAACAACCCCCCTCCCCCCATCCACTGCCCTCCCACCCCTGATATCATGCTTATCTATTACAATTCCATTGAATCCGTTCCTGCACTCTACTCCATGTCCCGAGGTTATATGTATATATAATTATAGTTGACATACAGTATTATTCAACATCAGTTTCAGAAATACAATGCGGTGGTCAGGCCTCTACATCAACTATGAAATGGACTCCCCAATGAGATACCACCTCACCCTGGTCAGAATGGCTATCATCAATAAATCAACAAACAACAAATGCTGGCGAGGCTGTGGGGAAAAGGGAACCCTGGTGCACTGCTGGTGGGACTGCAGACTGGTGCAGCCATTATGGAAATCAGTATGGAGGCAACTCAAAAATCTGAAAATGGAACTACCTTACGACCCAGCAATCCCACTCTTAGGTATTTATCCAAAAAAATCCCAAGACATTAATCCAAAAAAATATATGTACCCCTATGTTCATTGCGGCGTTATTCACAATAGTTAAGACTTGGAAACAACCAAAATGCCCATCGGTAGATGACTGGATTGAGAAACTTTGGTACATTTACACAATGGAGTATTATTCAGCTATAAAGAAGAAGGAAATAGTACCCTTTGCAACAATATGGATGGAACTAGAGAACATTATGCTAAGTGAAATAAGTCAGTCAGAGAAAGACAAATATCATATGATCTCACTTATACGTGGATTCTAAGGAACTGAATGGATGGGAGAAGTGGATGGAGATAGTCTCAGATATACCATTTGGTTTTACTATGAAAATGTACCACTCTCTTGTTTACTCAAGTTTTGTTGCATTGCAACAGTTATATTCTTCACTTCTGGAAAAAAAGTAAAGAATTTTTTCTTTGAAAGTGAGGCTGATAAAAAAGAATCAAAATACCTTCCAAAACAAATTCATAAACACATTATAAACAAATGCTATTATTACTATATTTGTTATATCCTAGACTTTCTTGACTTTCCAGACTAAATATTTTTAAAACTGTGGTTTTTGTGTCTTCACAGTACTAAGTGGGCACACTGCTTTAAAATAATTTTATTATTGTTGTTTGAGGAGTTTGCGTAGGAAGCAGATGCTAATACAATAAATTCTACACTTCTTTCCAGTTTCTTGTGAGAAATGTAATGTGGTAGACTGATAATGATGAAGTTAATGTTCTAGTTAAGCTCTTTTTCACACTAATGACATAACCTCAAATGAGTCATCTTACTGCTTGACCTACAAATGGAGAAAATAAGACTAGGTGAATGCTAGAATTTTCTCTAACCCTACTCATTCAGTTACTCTAATCATTGATTAACGTGATAGGCAAAAAAATTAAACAATATAAAAAGTTGATAAAGGTTACTCACCCCTGTAAATACAGCAACTTTATTGATTTCTGAAGCAAATGGGTAAGGAAAACTAAGAACACTGGCAAATGGCTCCACTTTTTTCTAAATACATAACAATAGAAAAATCATGATGAAACGTTCATTCCTCTTTTCTGTATCTCTCACATCTATAAAAGACACAACTGACATGGTTTTTTTCAATGTTTTAATTCTACCATATGTCCTTTCATTAATCCACAACTATTCGCTGATTACAATTTAAAGCATAAGAGATTATATTTCTTTTGCAAGAAACCACAATGAAAATCTAACTCTCTCTTCCCAGCTCCATACTCCCACAGCACTTGGCTTCTTCTCTACATCATTCATCACAGTCCTCATATATTAAGAGATGTCCCTGCATATCCCTATCTTCCCCAGCACCTACTACAATGCTTTCCACATGATGGATGGCAATAAATGTTTGCCACCTTGAATTAAATTCAAAAGAACATGTAATGTTTTGACACCATCAAGAAGGACATGAATGTAACTGTGCATACTGAACAGTAGACAATATCCAGCTGATATGCTCAGTTGGTCACCCCTAATCTCCATCCTTGCCTCTAAATAATCATGTGACATTAACCCTAATTCCAACACAGAATGCCAAGACTAAAAGGCTCTTCTGAGTGGGTCTATTTTGAAACAACCTAAACCACTTTCAGATACATTTGGGAAGTCAGTTGGGAAATACAAAATTAACAGTGGCATGGCATGCATTTGAGGCACCCTGATTCAAATGGGGATTCTACAGGGCCTCAGAACTCATTTGTTCAGTCATTTGGTCAAGGACCTGTCTAGGCGACTCAGATCTCTTAGGGTGATTTCACACGGAAATGAGTTCTAGGTCCATAGTTTTGGTGCAGTCTTAAGGTCTGGAACAAAGAGAAAGGGGGTTGTTCCCTAACCAAAACAGACTGACAGATTTTATTTTTAGAAAACTTTATTTTGAGTAGAGATAACTCCCTGAGAATTTCTTTTCAGACAAGAAGACACAAACACTTTCAATCAGACATGCAGCTCAGTTTTATGTACTGGCATTCCTTTGCCAGTAACATGTTGCAACTGGTTTCAGTAAATTTTTCAATGGCAAGCAATCATAATAATAGCATCCCCTGGGGGAATGCTGGCTCGTTGTATAAACAGTCTATCAAGAACAAAAAATATCTTAGGAAGACAACAGTACCCTTTCAACGTTATTAGTTTACAAGTGGCTTCCATTTATGAAATAAAGCTTGTGGTCCTACAAGACTTCTTTATGAACTACATCCATGGTTGACTGAGAAAATGATCATCTAAGACACAACATTTTTAAAATAAACAAACTAATAGCAACACTGAATTAAAATTACATGTCTAGTATAAACTGTTTCTAATAAATAAGAACTAACAAATGAGACAGACCTTGGTTCAAATTCTAACTCTACCGCCTACTCTGACCTTGAGCAAGTTACTTCACTTTTTGTGTCTCAGCTGCTTCTTCTGATATTATTATAGAATTAAATAAGAAAATGCATGCAAAGTATGTAGCATGGTGGCTGGTACATAAAAAGTTTCCAGGAAATGTTCATTGTTGTTATTAAACACCTACCAAGTCCACTACAGGCATTAGCTCATTGAATCTTTGCTATAACCCCCATGAACTAAACATTTTATCTTCCTTTATAAAGTGATGAGAAAACTGAGATTTGAAGAGGTTAAACCAGAAGCCCAAAGGTCAAAGAGCAAATAAACAGTGACATCAGGGCTTTGGCCTGTACTATAACCTGACTCCACCGAGCGCTACTGTAACTGCCTCCTCCTACACGCTCAATTACTATTGTTATTGTTGAGGCTGTTCAACTATATTAAAAAACATATACCTTTTCGTTGGACCAAAAAAGACATCCTCAGAATAAAAATTAAAATATTTCCAAGAGAATTAGATTTCTTAAGTGAGAAGCTTACAAAATTTAGAGCTACAATGGACCTCAATCATAATCTAGTGTTTTTCCTACTTTTAGAGCTTTATAAACAAAAGTCTTCCATGGAACTGCATATATAAACAGATAAAGCAGAGAGGTTCTGGTTGAAGGAAATGAGGGGTTTGGCATGCCCATCCATGCAAACTTAAGCTCAACCCAGGACTGTGAGGAAACATCTGAAGGACACTAAGCTAATTGAAAGCCCTCATTTACAGAGAAGAAACATAACACCCACACAGCTTAAGAAATTTTTCAAAGCTACAGTAATTCCTCAATTTTAACAATACTTTTGTTGCAATTTATACCAGTGATTTTCTGGTGAATAGGAGACGTATGTTCATGGACTATGCAGAGTATGTTTCACATTATATTTTACACACGGAAAATTAAAAAACAAATATTTTTCATGATAAACTACAGAAAGAACATAAGGTTTTCTAGAAATTACTATAGGAGGCAAAAATTTTGAAAAAATAAGAAATGATAATTCATACAGCCACTGTTCACAAATAAATTTATTTTAATTGACTCTACATACCTTCTTCCCCAGCACCATATCCAGTGTCAAATCAAGATAAACACCTTGTTTTGGATTTGTAAAGTCTAGAACTTGAAATTTCTTAAGTAAGTGAATAGCTTTCTCCACCTCGTATATCTGCCTTGGATATAAGCGTTTTAAGTAGACATCATCCTCAGGTTCACCTTCCATAACGGGATATGACTTTATTTTTTCTATATCATCTTTTTTTTCATCCGATACTTTTTCTTTGGCATCTCTTTTTGTTCTCTTTGCAGGCCTTGAAAAAAGATAAATTCAAGATCAGTTATCTCAATACATATTCCAAGAGATTTTAAAAAAACAACAAAAACAATGTACATAAGACAGAAAAAATAAAGTTTATTTTAATTCTAAAGCATAGGATGCTTCACAGTTTTTCTAGTTCAACAAATATTACATGAACTTTTGTACTGTTTGCAGTTGATACAAAATCAAATAAGGCATTAATGCCGTTCTCCAAAAACTTACAGGAACAGAGAAACAGACATGAAAACAGATGATTTCAATATAATATATTATATTAAGTACCATTAGAATGTTATCGGACCTGTAAAGAACGAACATTTAATCCAGCCTAGGAGACTAAGAAAGGGTTCTGGAAGAGATGACCTCAAAGTCAATTCTTAAAGAATAGAGAAGAATTAACTCAGGTATATACCCAAGAGAAATGAAAACACATGACTACACAAAAAACTTGTACACAAATATTCATAACAGCATTATTCATTAGTCAAAAAGTAAAAACAACCCAGATGTTGATCAACTGATGAATGGATACATAAAATGTGGTATATCCATATTATGGAGTATTAATCAGCAATGAAAAGGAATGAAATACTGATACCTGCTACACTATGTATAAACCTTAAAAGCATAAATGAAAGAAGCCAGTCACAAAACACCACATATTGTATGATTCCGTTTATATGAACTATCCAGAATGGGCAAATCTTTAGAGATGAAAGTAGACTTGGTGGCTGTCTAGGGCTGGGGAGAGGGGATTAGGGAAAAGAGGAGTGACTGCCAATTGGAATGGGGTTTTTGGGGAAAATCATAAAACTATTCTAAAACTGACTGTGATGATAGTTGCACAACTCTGAATATACCAAAAACCACTGAACAGTATACTTCAAATGGGTGAACTGTATGATATGTAAATTATCTCAATAAAGCTATTATAAAAAAAATAGCTAGCCAGGCAAAGACACAACATAATAAAAGTACTAAGACATGAAGCAGAATGGTACACAAAGGGAGCTATTTTAAGTTCTAACTGACTAGAGCAGGGGTTGGCAAACTTTTTCTGTAAAGGACCAGATAGCAAATATTTTACGGTCTCTTATTTCAGTGACTCAACTCTGCCACAGTAATGTGAAAGCAGCCATAGACAATACAAAAATTAACGAGTATAGCTGTGTTCCAATAAAACTTTATTTATAAACACTGGTCTAAATTTCATAATTTTCATGTGTCACAAAACACTGTTCTTTTTAACTTTTTTTCCAATCATTTAAAAATGTAAAAACCACTCAGCTCATGAAGCATACAAAAGTAGATTGCGCACCAGATTTTTCAGCCCACTGGCCATATTTTTCTGACTCTTGAACTAAAGAGTAAAGCAGAAGGCAAGAAACAGCAGAGGATGACGCTAGTGGATCTAGGTCACAAAGGGCAACCTCTAGAGGCAAGGAGAAGCCAATGAACAGCAGTGATATCTGTATTTCAAGTAGGGTATTCTAGCTGCAATGTAAGGGATGGTTTTGAAGGAAACTTGGCTGGAGACAATGAAGAGACTATTCCCTCCCTTCCTTCTCAAGGAGACATGAAAACCTGAGCCAGAACAGTAATGGCAATAGGCTGGAGAAGATGAGAGATCACAATGATATTTACAAGGTAAATATTGAATATAGGGAAAAGGAAAAAGACTCTAGAAGACTTCTAGAATAGGTTTCTGGCTTGGGTAACTAGACATAGAGTAGTATGGTTAACTAAGACCAGAAATAAAGAAACAAAACAGGGATGTAGTCAGAGATGAGTTCAGTTTAGAGGAATATACAGAATGGGTGTGGGGTTAGTTTCATCATTGTCCCCAATTCTTTATTCCTATTAACCTAAAAATAAAAGACCAAAGTGAGAGTCAACAAGCATTTATTTGAAATTCAAACAAATAGCTATTGTGGAAACACTGACCCATGAAGAAACACAGTGTTCCAATTAGGTAGTGAAGGTGAGGAGTATTTGGGAGAAAGGGAAGGGGAACAATTATGTCAATTACATCATCAAATACATCAACAGAAGAAAGGCATTTCGATAGGTGCAAATAAGCTAACAAACATAGTGATGCTAATTCTAAACAATGTTTTAATTTTCAGTCAAGGTCATAATATCTGCTTTCTTGTTAACTTTGCAAACAGTTGTTTGGGATATAAGGTTGCAATCCAAAGTTGTTTTTATCCAGTTTTAACATTCCAAAGGTTTGAGGAATAATACCTACAAGGCAGTTCCTACGGGATAACAGCTCCAACTGCATTTTAAAGTGGCTCCATTTATATTATTGCTTACACACACACACACACACCCCTCCTCCATTCAAGTCCCTTTGCTAAGTGACTCTGCAAGTTCCTCCCATGTCAAGAAGTGAAGTGTATTTCCCAGCACCTTGTTTTGGCCATGTGACTAGTTTGGCCAAAAGAATAAAGCAAAAGTGACAGTTTCTCTGCTCTAAACTTAGGCCATAAGCTTCTTTATTTCAAGATTTCAGAGGCAACAGAAATGCCCTAGCTGCAGGGACTTATTTGGCTGGTGGGGAGGCGGGATGGGAAAACCAACATTTTATTTTAAAATAAATGCATTAAGAGGTTTATTTGGGTAAATGGTCCCTAGTGGATTTTCCCCCAGAAAGGGGGAAGGAACAAGCAGTAGACATTTCTCTTTGGACAGAAGCTAGAAGGCAGGAAATACTGTGCAATGTCACCATGAGCACCTCCAGCTGTATTAGTGTCATTAGAATAAATTTGATTATGATGGTGAAAAAAAAAAAGCCATAAGATGCTTCATGTGTTTCCACTTGTATGTTTGCATTTATGCCATTTTCATAAGAACATGCCTGAGCTAGCCCAAAAGTGAGAAGATGAGACACGTGAAACGGAGCTGCCCCCACAGAGCCCCAGGCAAGATTAGACAATTCTCACCTAACCTGCCTACTCACAGATGTGCAGCAAGCCCAGCCAAAGTCATCAGAAACATCCATCCGAACCTATCTTAGATCAGCTGACCCACAGATGTGTGGGCAATGATAAATAATTGTGGGGTGGTTTGTTATACAGCAAAAACTAACCAGGTGTTTACAGAATATCTAAGAAAATATGTTCAACAGCTAGTTAAGAGTTTAAAGCTAAGAAAAAAAGACATAAGTAGAAGTGATACACACACACACACACACACACACACACACACACACACATATATTGGGTTGTCGGAAAAGTCATGACGTATTTTTTCTATGTTCTTTGTTGCAAAAATGCTTCATGACTTTTCCGACAACCCAATATGTTAGTTTCAGGTGTACAAAACATGGTTAGACATTTAAACCCCTTACAAAGCGATAACCCCACCAAGTCTACTACCCATCTGACATCATACATAGCTATTACAGTATCATTGACTATATTCTCTATGCTGTACTTTACATCCTGTGACTATGTATGTATGTATGTATGCGTGTGTGTGTGTGTGTATTATGTATATATATACTTAATTACAATTAACATTCAATATTATTTTATATTATTTTCATGTGTACAGTGCAGTGGTTAGGCACTTATATAATCTATGAAGTGACCCCCCACCCCCACCTCGATAAGTCCAGTACCCTTCTGACACCCTACATAGTCTTCACATTAATTATATTCCCCATACTGTATTTCACATCCCTGTGACTATTCTGTGACTACCAATTTGTACTTCACCTTTCTCATCCATCACCTCAACCCCCTCCCATCTGGCAACCATCAGATTGTTCTCTGTATCTATGAGTTTATTTTTGTTTTGTTTGTTCATTTATTCTGTTCTTTAGATTCCACATATAAGTAAGATCATATGGCATTTGTCTTTAGCAGTCTGACTTATTTCACTTAGCATAATATCGTCTAGGTCCATCCACATTGTTGCAAATGGTTAAGATCTTTTTCTTTCTTATGGAAAAGTAATATTCCATTGTATAAATGTACCACAATTTCTTTATCCAATCATCTATTGATGGGCATTTCGGTTGTTCCCATATCTTGGCTGTTGTGAATAGCGCTACAGTAAACATAGAGGTTCATATATTTTTTCGAATTACTGTTTTGGGTTTCTTTGGATAAATACCCAGGAGTGGAATTGTTGGGTCATAAGGTAGTTCTATTTTTTTTTTTTTTGAGGAACCTCCATACTGTTTTCTATAGTAGCTGCACCAATTTGCAATCCCACCAACAGTGCACAAGGGTTCCCTTTTCTCCACATCCTCACCAGCCTTGTTGTTTGTTGATTTATTGATGATAGCCATTCTGACCGGATTGAGGTGGTATCTCATGGTGGTTTTTATTTGCATTTCTCTGATGATTAGTGAGGTTCAGCATCTTTCTTATGTCTATTGGCCATCTGTATGTCCTGTTTGGAGAAATGTCTGTTCAGGTCCTCTGCCCATCTCTTAATTGAATTGTTTGTTTTTTGGGGGTTGAGTTGTATAACTTTTTTATAAATTTTGGATATTAACCCCTTATTAGCTGTATCATTGGCAAACATTTTCTCCCATTCAGTAGGATGTCTTTTTGTTTTGTTGATGGTTTCCTTTGCTGTGAAAAAACTTTTTAGTTTGATGTAGTCCCATTTGTTTATTTTTTCTTTTGTTTTCCTTGCCCGAGGAGATATATCAGTAAATATATTACTAAGGGTAATAATGTCTGAGAGTTTAGTTCCTATATTTTCTCCTAGGAGTTTTATGGTTGCGGGTCTTACATTTAAGTCCCAATGCTCATTTTTAATAGGACACAGGTGTCCTTTTGGACTGATGACAACAAATCTAAGCAGGTGCCCAAATGGATGGATGAAATAGGCCTCAATAGCTACCTAGGAAGTACTTCACAAAATTCTGAAACATTCCAAACTGGAGAAATCACATTACTTTATATTTAGTGAAAGAGCAGTGAGGCCAATAGAAGAAGGAACTTAGAGAACATGTTTTAGGAATAAACTCTC